TTTTTTTTTTTTTTTTTTTTCTATATTGACTATAATTCTTCTGTGTAGAACTTTTTCATTTGTTGGAGTTATTTAGTTATAGTGAAATATGATTCCCACTAGAAAGTAAGGCCAAATGCTGAATTTTTTCTATTTAATTGCCAGTTTTCAGAGGAATCAGTTGATGTCCTAGCGATTTCCAGTAGTGGTTAATGACTTTTCCCTCTCTTCTCCCTCTCCTCTTTCTCTGTTTCTCAGTATTTTTTCATTACTACTAACAAAGCAGACTTTTAATCCATTGAGATCATTTCTGGTATTTTTGCTTGATGTGGTTAGGATTCAAAATGTCTCCAAAAAGGCTCATTGTGTTGAAGGATTAGCTGCTGGTGGGCTTTTGGGAAGAGATTGGATCATGAGAACTCTTAACTTTGCACTGATGAGATCATGATATGATGATATTTTGATGGAAACAGCAAGTGGGCCATAGTTGAAGGGAGTGAATCATGAGATGGCTCCTTCCTTTTCTTTCTGTCAACTTTCTGGTCTCCATGAGGCAAGCAGCTTTGCTCTACTATGTCCTTCTGCCATGGTGTTCTGACTTTCCCTCAGGCCCACAGCAATGGAACCAAATGGCTGTGGACTAAAGGCTCTGAAACCATGAGCCAAAATAAACCTCTTCCTCCTTTAAGTTATTTCAGATATTTTGTCACAGTGACAAAAAGGTGACTAACATAATGCTCACATGAGCCCATCTTTGTCCATTGGAAGCCCATTTCCATTGATACCTTTGTCTTTTGACCCAATTATATTACTCTTTTAAAGTTCCCATGTTTCTGACAAGACGATACGTAGTTTCCCATCCCGTGCTCTGGGTTGGACATTTCTCCGAAGAGCTCTGGTTCATTTTCATCAGGATTGGTATAGTGACTGTAATCTGGGTCCAAGGTCCTTACTGCTTTTGTTTGGTCAGTGTTTTTATGCCTCTCCAGTAGAGAAAGGTAAAACATGTATGTTTAAAAAATAAACAGTAGAGGGCTGGGGATTTAGCTCAGTGATTCTGCCGCCTTACTTGCAAGTGCAAGGACCTGAGTTCAATCCCTGGTACCAAAAAACAAAAACAAAAAATAGACAGTAGAATGGTAGTTGTCAGAGTCTGATTGCAGGAGAAGAATAGAGGTTACTATTTAATAAATATAGAGTTTAACTTTAGGAGGATGAAAAGGTTGTGGAGAAATATGCTGGACACAGTTGCACAACAGTGAATATACTAAATGCCATTGAATGCTCCCTTTAGCTAAAATGGTAACATATATGTTACATATATTTTAACACAATAGAAAAATAAAATCCTCTTGTGGCAGAAAAATAGACAAAAATATGGGAACTTTACACTGCTATTTACATTTTAAACTAAGTTTAAGATTAGGACTTTGCTTAATGAATTTTATACACCTTTTACTTTATTAATTTAAATTTTGGTCTAAATTACTTCCGTAATAATTCTGTAATGATGATTATACCTAGTTCTTCTTTCTCCAATACTGTTTCATTTTGGGACCTGGACCTGTCCTTCATATTCTGAGTCTTGCCACTGTTTTTTGATACAGACTTTGCTACCAGGACTTGCCAGTTCCTCCGGGGAGGTAGTTAAGTCTACACCAGGTGTGACCTCCTCATCTACTTCTGGAAGTGGAGACAAGGTCTATGCTTATCAGATGGTCCGTACAGATTCCCGGGAACAGAAGCTCGATGCCTTTCTGCAGCCTGTGAGCAAGGCCCTACCCAATCAGCCCCAGGCCTCTGAACCAGGGGATAGGACTCATGCTTCTAGTTGCAAAGCTGGGCCGCAAGATGAAGAGATGCTTGAAATCCCAGCCCCTGGTGAGGTGGCCGCCAAGAATCAGAACATGGAGGTGGATACAAACAAGGGTGCTTTAGAAACAGCAGAAAAGAAAGCACCCACTTGTAGCCCAGGCAATCCCAGGTGTGCCCTTTTGGGGAGGGTGCAGCTTGCCTCCTGTGGTTTATTATTATTATTGGTTTATTATTATTATTATTATTATTATTATTTTATTTATTTGTTTGGTACCGGTTTCAAACTCAGGCCCTTGTGCTTGCAAAGCAGACAGTGGAACCACTGAGCCAAATCCCTGGCCTGCCTTCTGTGCTTTTGAGTAAAACTGTCTTGTAACTTTGGCGCTTCATGAGCCACTGGCATCTTCTCTTGCTTGACTTCTCCTCTGCCTCCACTGGGCTAGTGCTATGGCCCTGTCCACTGTCTGCTTTTGACCATGACTTGAAAGCCGCCACCAGTGTCCTGAAATATCTTCAGTGTCTTTGGTTCTAATTACTTTAAAAGACATCAGAAAGAAAGCAGAAGATTCTTCCTTTGTTTTTAGTAAAACATTTGATAAAATCGCAACCCCAGAAGTGTCTAGAGAGAAGCTTTAAATAGATCTTTCCTTCTACCCAAAGCTTTTTCAACCCTTTCAAAAGAACCACACTTTCTGAATCTAGTTTATAAAACACCCTGAAGTGAGCTAGTGGTGAAAGAAAGCAAGAGAAAAGGGCCAAGAATGATGATAGTAGATTATAACTTAGTTTTGAGCATTTCCAGACTATGCTCTGCAGGTTCTCTAAGGACATTATCTTGCTGAAATCTGTAAGGTGGCTGGTGTATTTAATGCTTAGGCATGCTAAACTTGGAGCTCAAGGTGATGTCATTTGCTCAAGGCTATATGTGTACTTAGTGACTGACCGCCAGAAATCTGCACTAAATGGCCATTTGATTTGAATGAGTTCCTTCCGTTTGCTCAAGTTTGAATGATCCTAGCAAGATGACGTATAAGGATTTTTCCCAGAGAATAATAAAGTTTGGTGGCATTTATTGAGCTACTATTGTATGCCAGATGCACACAGTATCTCATTTAATGCTGTTCAAAACCTTACAAATGAAGCGTTTCATTTGTTTATCCTTTGGGGAACTAAATAATACCACACCACAGTCAAAGACTTCTTTTTTTGGAGGGGTGGTTTGGGGACAGGTTCTCGCTATGTAATCCAGGCTGACCTTGAACTCAGTCATCTTCCTGCCTTAGCCTCCTAAATGCTGGGATTACAAGCATGTGACAAAACACAAGAAATGTTTTTAAAGCAGAAGTCATACCACATCACTCATTCTGAAAAACCTTTCGGTGACTTCCCATTCCATTTTGAAGATAATTTAAATCCTTTGTCCTGCCTTCCCCTGGCCTTGCACTTTCCTTCCTCCTGGTGGCACTTTAGCCCTGTGGCTCTTGTGACAGATCTGAACTGACTTAGCTTTTTCCCCTCTGGATTCCCTTGCTCTTTCCTCAGCCTAGGAAGGCTTGGGCTTTCTGTCACTCAAGTCTCCAGGGTCACCCCCACCAGAGGCCTTCTTTGTCCAATTATACTAACATTCTCTCGCTTCCCTGTCATTCTGTTAATTACTTTGTTAACTAACACTAATCACTACTAATAAGGATCCTTTTTTTTTCCTGCTGTTTTTTTACTCTCCCACTAGGAAGTAAGCATAATGAGGGCAGGCATCTGTTTTCATTGCTGTATGTAGTAGGTATTTAACACTGCCTGGTGATTTGTTAGATGGAAGAATGGAGGAAGGAAGGAAGGTACATAGGTAAGTAGGTAGGTCAGTCAGTCTGTTCACTTGCTCAAGGTCCTGCAGCTCTCTGGGCCTAACGAGACTCCATATCCTAGTTATGTACAGCTTTGTGGCCAGCTGTGGGGTCTGAGGTTTGTCATATGTGTGCCTGCTGGAGAATAAACATCCTCCTGGCCTGCTGCTGCTAGCACAGGGGTCTGTAGATATGTAGAAGCTGCCAACAGTATAGGGTAGCTGTTCCCATCTCCTAAATATCACAGAACTTGACTGAGTTAAATTAAAAGGAAGAGTAATAATCTGCTGGTTTATTTTCTTCATTACAGAAAGAGACATCGGGAAGACTCTGATGTGGAAATGATGGAAAGTGGTTCCCAGAAGGACATGACAGCAGCTTGTACCCCTCGGAGAAGGATCATTAACCTCACTAGTGTTTTGAGTCTTCAGGAAGAAATTAATGAACAGGGACATGAGAGTACGTAAGTGCTGAGATGTGCCTGGAACTCTGAATCCCAAACTGCTGGCATTAAGGTTTTGGAACTGCAGAAAGGGTTCATGTTTTCAGGGTGGCCACCACAGTGTGCTGGGCAAACCTTTTCACTTACTAACCCACAGCATCAGCAGTTTAAAGATAATTACAAGAGGAGAAGAGAGGAAGTAATTTGTTTTAATTAGAATTAATGGACAGTCTTATTACCTCATAGGAGTCAAACTAAGGCAGTAATTTCTAGTTTGTTTCTCTTTTATCATTGTAATGATCACCAAAAATCATACCCTGTTGGCTGAATGGGATGTGCTCTTGTTGAAAGTTCACAGGCGTTTTTATCCTTGGCACTAACTATTGCTTCTACTATGTGACCTTATACTTGTGACCTTACCTTTCTGTGCCTTGGTTTTTTTCTCATCTATAAGAAGAGATTAATTTTACCCTGGAAAACCATAGTGCTGATTGGAGATCAAATATAAATAAAACTCTTAGTTACAGAGTAAGGAGTTACTAGATATTTTTATATCCTAAGACATAAATTATCTTTCTCAGAAATGCTTTTGAGATTACTTGATGCCAGCTCTGTACTTAGTGTATGTAATTTAGCCCTGACCTCCCATTTTTCATCTGTTATACCTACCTCTCAACCTATCTCCCTTTTTCATTCCTTCCTTTCTTGTTTTCTTTTTTGATTCTTTTGAGATAGAGTCTCACTAAATAGTTCAGGCTGGCTTTGAACCCACTGTGTAGCCCAAGCTGGCCTCAGACTCACAGAAATCTTTCTGCCTCAGCCTACCAGTGCTGGGATTTTAATCATGTGCAACCATACCCAGCTTATATTTCTTGATTCAAATAAATGCTATCTTATAAAATGTATCTTAAGATATAAATATCTGGATTAATTTTGAAAAGGGAGCAAAGGGAGTAGTGAGGAAACAAGTTGGTACCTTCCTCACTGATCTTTAATCTTTTGAAACTGCTTCTCTGACAGTGGCCCTTTAAAATTTTTTTTTTTTTTTTTTTTTTTTTGTCACTGCTTGTCTGAGCTAATTCAGAAAAGCCTCAGTTTGCCTTTCCCTGTTCATTGTCTTTTCTTACTTCTCTGGGCAAAAGATACATACAGGGTTTTTCACTACACTGGAGCAGGATAAAAATTGCATTATGACTAAGTTTTTGCCAGTTTAAGAAATGGATGCCAGCTGGCTTCTGACTTTTATTTCCATAAAGACTTGGTCTTTTGGCTCTTCCTCTCCAATATTAACTTTGAAGGTGGGAGCTTTTGAAGCACTTTTAAATTTAAATAATATGGTGGACATGAAGGGAGGGCAGGGGTATAGGGAAATAGTACCAAGATCTGTCACGTAGGGGTACAAAATCCCAATGATGAATGTAACTGTACTGTATACTTCAAAAGTACCAATAAACTCAAGATTTAAAAAAAAATTTTAAATTATATAAAGGTGGGCTGTTTCTCAATTTTAGCAGTCCTCCAACAGTAGTTTTATAGCCCACACACACACACACACACACACACACACACACTCACACATAGATATCAAAGGTCAGCTTTAGGGTCTTGCTAAGGCTGTCTCATTTTCTTCTCTTAATCTTATGAGGGAGATAGACCAGGTGCTGTGATCTTGTATTTTAGATGAGGAGATGGAAGACCAAGTAGACAAATTATTTGAAACATTTCAACAATCTAAAACAGGCCCAGAGTCAGGCATGGTGTAGTCCTATAGTCCTAGCTACTGAGGAGGCTGAAGTCGAAGGCTTCCTTCAGTTTAGAAGTTTCAGGCTAGCCCAAGAAACAAAGCAACATACCTGGGTCTGGTGGGCAGAGTTACTTGCCTTGTAATGGTTGTCATTAGCAGTGGCGTTCACACAGGAAGCCTCACCCAGTATTTAAGTGCAAAATCAGGTCACTGCTCTGTGCAGGATAAATGTACGGTGTGATTCTGATCCCTTCTCTAAAGCTGGGGTCTTCAGACATGGAGGTGTCCTTAGGCATGGGAGATTCTGACCCATTTGGCTCCTCACAGAATGACAGGGAAACGCATACAGATTTCTAGGGCTATGGGGACATAGGAATGAAATACATCCTGATAAGAGGCATGAAGAGGCCCTGTGCTGGGTAAGTAGATGCTGGCTCCCTGCCTACCCTTCCCTTCTGGCGGGGCTGCACTCCAGTAGCTGCAAGTGCGTCAGAGCAGGCCATGGACATTCTGCATGGAAAAATCTCTGGCCCGTTTTTAGTGAATTACCCTGCTTTCGGTTTCCTCCAGTGCCTCATTATTGAAGATTATTTGATGTTCTCCAGCTTTTAAAATAATCATTTTCCGCCTACACAGAACATCCTGTAGAGACGTTGAGTTTCCAGTGGGAAAGGAGGGAACACTTATTCTAAAAATGAAGAAAATAAGGCTCTTTCATGGAGATAGAGTAGTTACAGAGTTATGTAATAATATGAGAATTTACCTGCAGTACCCACAAGGTTAAAAAAAAGGGTATATTAAAAACGATGCATAGAGCCAGGAGTGGTGGCACATGCCTTTAATCCCAGCACTCGGGAGGCTGAAGCAAGAGGCTTGCTGTGAGTTCGAGACCAGCCTGGGCTGGTCCAGGACAGTGAGTTCCAGGACAGTCTCAACTACGTACTGAGACCCTGTCTCAAAAAAACAAAACAATGCATAGGCTTACTGCTGAGCCCTCATTCTTTGCCTGATTTCTCCAACTCCTCCTCTACCCCTCTTCCTTTGGTGAAGGGGTGGTATGTTTAGTTTTTTAATTATAATAGTGTGGGGTTGCTGGGGGTGTAGCACAGTGGGAGCACTTGACTAGCCCTGTGTGAGGTCCTGGGTTCAATCTCTAGCACTAATATAATAACTTATGTACATCCACATTACATACAGATATATAAATGTAAATACAAAATCATATTTATAATATATATGTAGAATCTACAGAAAAAAAGAATACCTGCAAGAATAGCACCTATTTAAGAAACAACATTGCTGTCTCTTTTGAAATACCTATGTATTATTTCCCTGTCCTGTCCCAGACCTTTCACCCTTAGTGATTACTGCTCTGAATTATGCCATGATTATTTCCTTTTTATTTTAATTTTGCTAGCTATATTTGTATTCCTTAAAAAATTGTTTAGTTTTGCAACCCTTATAGTCTATATAAATGGAATTATACTGTACTTGTTATATATGAATGCACACATATTATATTCCTAAGACTTATCCGTCTTGTCACATAAGCTCTGGTTTACTCCATGTAATGTATTCTGCTTAATGAATATGTAGCTCATTCATTGTGTTGGAGGACATTTGGAGGACTCACGGCCTCAGGCCCTAGCTCCTTACATCCTCACACTGCTTCCTGACCATGAGTTGATCCCTGGGTTGGCCACACAGGTTGGGAAGTTCTGGTCCTAGGGTATTTTGTATAGGAGGATTACTTCTGTATCATAAAGTGACAAATTGTTTTCTGAAGAGTCATATTAATTTACATTACCTCCAACCATGAACAGAAATTGTATTTGCTCTTTCTTTCCAGTATTTGATAGTGTGAGACTGTTTTTTACCAGTTGGTAAAACTTGTGATTGTGAAACAGTATCTAATGGTGGTTTTTATTTGTTATTTCTTTGGTGAGTAGTAAAGGTTAGTAAATATATTTCCTTTTATGTTAAGGGCCTGTTTGAGTTTTTTCCATCTTTCTGTTTTTTATTTTTTCTAAACGACTTGAGAGGTTACTTATATATTCTAGATAGTAATCAGTTACATGAAAATACCATCCTCCATTTTAGGGCTTATTCTTTTATGAACACTTATTTTATTAATAGAAATTCCTTGGTTTAGTGTAGGCAGATTTGATCGGTTGTTCTTTAGAGGCTTTTCGTTGCGGTTTTTTTGTTTGTATTGGTTTGAAGGGGTTGTGAGATAGGGTCTCACTTTGTTGCCCAGGCTGGCCTCAGACTCCCGGGCCCGGGTGATTGTCCTGTGAGCCTCCCGAGTAGCTGGGACCACAGGTGTACACCAGTGCACCCAACTGGCTTCTTTTTAAATCTTAAGAAATTCTTCCTAACTCTGTGATGATTAAAGACATACTGTATGTGGGGTTGGATGGGTATGTATATGTTTGGTGCTAGGGAAATATGTGCTGTCATACATCCTTGAAAAGCTTATACTTGAGTCTCTCACTCACCTGAATTTGATTTGGGTATGTTGTTAGATTCCAGTTTCTACTTGATCATCTAATTGTATGTATCATAGTTGTAAGTTTATTTTTATTTTACCATATATTATTTACTCAGTTCTTCCTATTAGACCTTTCATCATCTGCCTGAGCACATCCTTTCGTGTGGGTTCTTTGATGACTCCTTTCAGACAGCTTTAACAATTACCATAGATTGGGTGTCTCATTAAAAAAAAGAAATTTGTTCTTAACAGTGTTGGAGGCTGAGGCGTCTTGACATGCTGGCAGATTCGATGGATGGTGAGGGCATACTTCCTCACAGATGATGTCTTCTAGCTGTGTTCTTACATGATAGAGCAGGCTACCTGGCTCTCTGTGGTCTTTTATGTATGGGTCTCTAATCTCAATCACGAAGATGTATCCAGTCACTTTCCCAAGATACCACCTCTTTATACTATCACTTTGGGGGTTAGGATTTCAACATTAAGTTTTGGAAAAACACAAACATTCAATAGTGGCAGTGGCAAACTGAGTTTGCCTTATAATTCACCCCTATTTGAAAAGTATTTTTGTTGGATTTAGGATTACAGACTCGCAGTTGTTTTTCCTTAGACCATTGAAGGTATCTTTCTGTTTTCTATGATTTTTCCTATTATAGTTGAAAATTCAGCCATCAGTCTTATATTTATTTAATACTTAGGGGATAATCTCTCTTCTCTGAGTGGTTTTTTGGTTTTTTTGTTTTTGAGACAGAGTCTCACTATGTAGTTGAGACTGACCTGGAACTCACTATGTAGCCCATGCTGGTCTCGAACTCACAGCGATCCTCCTGTCTCAGCCTCCCAAGTGCTGGGATTACAGGTGTGCGCCGTCTCACCTGGCTTTCTGAGTGTTTTTAACACATCTATTTTAAATATCCTGCAGTAACTGGACATGACCCCCTCCCATGCTGGGATTACAGGTGTGCGCCGTCTCACCTGGCTTTCTGAGTGTTTTTAACACATCTATTTTAAATATCCTGCAGTAACTGGACATGTCAGGTATAGGTTCTGTTGTGTTTTATTATGATTTGACATTTTTCATCACTTCTGGGATACTCAGATATTTTTGTCTTCAAATATTATTACCTCCCTTCTCCGTCCCTTATGGAATTTGAGTGATATATTTATTATCATCCATGTTACTTTATATGAAAGTTCTTCTTTTATATTTTCTCACCTCTGTATTTCAGATAACTTTTTGAGATCTGCCTTCCAGCTAAATTACCTTGTCAACATTAATCTAGTATGTTTATATTGATTTTAAATCATAGTACAGCATTTTTAGAATTTTTATTTTGTTCTTTTAGAAGCCCGCTTGATCATTTTTGATAGTGTCCTGCTGCTTACTCCGTTTTAAAACCTCTTGGATGTACTGAACATATTTATTTAACTTGTTCTTTTATTTCTCAGCTCAAACCTTTGCACATCTCATCTTGTAGTTGCTTCTTAGTCTAATTCCTGATAGTGTGTCTGGATTGAAGATAGATTTCTCCAGGAATAATTTTCATTTGATTCTATGAGGGATATGGAAGAACAATCAGCCTTTGTATCGGTTTAAAGTAAAATGCCCACTTAAGGTCTGTGTACTACTCAAGCGTCTATATATTGTAAATTCTGGCTGCAAAAGCTTGTGAAGACCAGTTTATGATTACACACCCTCTAGGAAGTTTTTTTTTTTACCACTTGGCAACACTGAAGTTTGAGGTGGCATTTTTGCTGCCATTTGAGGGAGGGTAGAGCAGGCTTAGAGCATAGTATAGTTTCCCTTTTCACTCAGGGTGTAGCTCTTGGGATCTCAGCTTCACACGTGGGGCAGTCGTCTCCTATTAGACTCCCTTTTTCAATCCATCTCGAGGATTTTGCCTTCCTTTTGTACAATGACAGAGCCTGTAAAAACTAAAGTTCATAACTTCTGAGATTCCTCTGATCTTTAGATAAATGTAGCTTCAGAGCTCTCATTACTTCTCTAGGTTCCTGCTTTGTCTCTGATTTGGGGGTTTTTTTGTTTGTTTTGGTTTTTTGTTTTGTTTTGTTTTGTTTTGTTTGTACCAGGGATCGAACTTGGGATCTTGCACTTGCAAGGTAGATGCTGGAACCACTGGGCTAAATCCCCGGCCTGTCTTTGATTTTTATCCTTGTGTATTCCATAATATTTTAGAAATTTCTGTTGCATTTTAAACAGTTATATGTTCTGCATTTGCTTTGTCTTCAGCAGGAGGCTCAGTTTAGCACCTTTGATTGACTGGTGTGCAGTTCTGGTTCTTGGAACTGTGGTGTGTGAAGCAGTGTTGGTACTGTTCCATTACTTAGCTGGTTTTTGTTTGGATTTTGTTTTTCAGCTCTCCGGGAGATGCTCCAAAACCACTCCTTTGTGGGCTGTGTGAATCCTCAGTGGGCCTTGGCCCAGCATCAGACCAAGTTATATCTTCTCAACACCACCAAGCTTAGGTAAATCAGTGAGTATATGAAAAAAGAACCACTAGGAGAACCACTAGAACAGTGGTGGCAGACCTATGGCATGGGTGCTGTAGCTGACTGTTTGAATTAGTTGAAAGTTCTAAAAGGTTCACCATCACTCTACTAGAATGGTACATGGAACAGGAAGTTGGGAAAGCAACATGAAGTGGTTGGAAAGGGCACAGGCTTGAGAATCAAACAGATGTGATTACAAAATCAGGTTTGACCATTTTCCATTTATATAACCATGAGAAAGTTATTTTCCTAAACTAGATCTCAGATTTCTCAACTATAACTTGGGATATTACTACTTAAAGTTGGTGGGGAGTTATGCAAGATTAAGAGATAACTTAAGAATCCTATCCTTTATAAAGGCTCAACACGCATTTAAATTTTGGCTGTGGACCAGGTGTTAAGAGCTTGGTAATGTAAGATAATTCTACTATCTGCTTTGTGCAATAGGTACTACTTTAAGGGAAGCAAGAAAATCTGATGCTTCCTAGCTATGGGAATGTACCACAGGGTTACTCTAACCACCAGACAAACCAGTACAGTTGATTAGCGCATGAAGGGTGACTCTACAGATAATACATGTAGAAAGATGCTGCCATCTTGCATGTACTTGACATCACATGTCTCCTGTGGGTCTCTTTCCCTTCAAGCCCTACTGTGGCCTCAAGAGTTCTTCTTGGCCTTGTGAATGGGGCAGCCACTATACATTGCTTAGACATGGCACATTAGATGAAAACCTAAAGCTTACTGTTGGCTCACATAACTCTTCAGATACTCACAGTTCATTCTTTTGAGCCTTGGAAGCCCTCTTGGTATAGCTCTTTTCAATTACCATTATCTGCTTTGAGAATCCTTGGGGTTGTATAGTGAGCTATCACTTACTACTTTATGCTTCAAAATCAGAAAGTTTTTGAATACCAACATGATGCTGCAGTGGAAAATTGTGCACCATGAAACTTTGTTTCATGCACAAATTTTTTGAAAATTTATAAAATCTTCAAGTTATATATCCAAGGTTTATGTAAAATATAAATGTATTTCTTGTTTAGACATGTACCCTATCCCCAAGATAACATATATATGCAAATATTCTAAAATCTGGGGTAAAGTGACTTACAGGTTTAAGTAGGGGAAATGGTAAGCAAACAAAAAAATTCTTGAAGTTTCCCACAAGGTGTTAAAAATCTCTTACAGCAGCCAAAAAGTGGTGACAAACAAGACTTAGTATTCAAACCTGTCTTTGGAGGCTGGCCCCCCCACATCCCTGTGTGGAGATGTTGGAAATAAGAGATCTTGCTAGACTGTTAACCAGGTTCCATAGCCGGGCAGAACCATCAGTATGGCCCATTTGTGTTTCAGGAATTACTTCTCCCATTTGTCCCTATTGGTTGGCTCCAATCATGGATTCAGCTTTTGCTTAAGGTCACTTTATTTTTATTTTCAGTGAAGAACTGTTCTACCAGATACTCATTTATGACTTTGCAAATTTTGGTGTTCTGAGGTTATCGGTAAGTTTATTGCCTCATCACTTCTGAAATTTTAACTGGTCATTTCTAAAAATAGGAGTTCTAAAGTATCTTATTTGTATGATATTAAATTTTATTAAATATGCTGCTAAACATTTCTGTATTGTTTACTTTGTATATGGAGGTATCTCATTATAGTAGTTTTGTGTCTTTTAGCCAAATAGTTGATAGCCAACTTAAACAAATGTTATTATGATAGAAGTAGATAATGTATGTATCTGCTTAAACTTGGAAAGAAGTATAAATGGAAATAAACATTCTGTAAAACCATGATCAAAACGCAGCCCCTAGTAATTTTATTTCTGTGGTGTTGGAATCAAACCCAGGTCCTTGTGCATGCCAGCCAGGCACTCCACTGTTGAGCTACGTCCCTGTGCCCCTAATAGTTTTGGTCCATTTCTTCCAAGACTTTCACTGCCTACTTTTAATTTAGAGTGAAAAATCATACTACCTATCTTTAGAGCTTTTTGACACACTCTATAAAAATGCCTACTAGAATTTTAAATTTGGATTGTTTTGAAACTATAGATCAATTTGAGAAAAAATTTTGTTAGATTAATCCTTTAGTATTTCACATACTTTGTGCTATTATAAATGGTAATATTTTTCTTAATTTGTTTTGTTATTACTAATATGTAGACATACACATGAATTTTATACATTGATGTGATATCTTGCAGCCTTGCTAACCTTACCGGCTTTAGTAACATTTGTAGAGTCTATTAGATTTTCTACATAAATCATAAATCATGTCATCTGAGAGAAAAGGAAGTTTTACTTCTTTTTGTCCAATCTGGATAGATTTTTTTCTTGACTGCACTTGCTAAAACTTCCATCTCTTCCTGATGTTAGGTGAAACTATTGAGCCATCATTAAGTATTTTCATAGTGTTTTCATAGGTGCCCTTATGAGAGTGAGGAAGCTCCCTTCTATTCCTTGTTGGCTTCTTTGTTTTCTTTTTTTCTTTTTCTTTGGTACCAGGGAAACTAAGGACCTTGCTGGGAGGCAGGCACACTGCCACTGAGCTAAATCTCCAGCCCTGGTTTAGTTTTTATTTAGGAATAGTGTTTAGTTTACTCAAATTCCTTTTCTGTATTTATATTTAAGATAATCATACGATTTTTTTTTTTTTAGTTTGTTAATATAGTATAACATGATGGCTACATTGGGTGTGTTAAACCAATCTTGCACTCCTTGGATGAACACTACTTGGTCATTATGTACTGACTTACCAGATTTTATTTACTAAAAGTTTATTTGGAATTTTTGCATCTATATTCAAGAATATTACCAGCATATAGCTTTCTTGTATTCTTTGTGGGGTTTTAGTATTAGGGTAATATTGCCCTTATTTAATGAATTGTAAGTATCTTCTTTTCCATTTTGAAGGATTTTGTATAGAATTGTTATTTATTCTTTAATGGTTGGTAGATTCACGAGTGAAGTCATCTGGACCTGGATATTTTAGTAAGGGAGTGTTCTTGCTACAAATTCAATTTCTTAATTAGATACAGAACTATTCAGGGTTATCTCTTTCTCCTTGGGTAAGCTTTGGCTTTTTTTTTTTTTTTTTAACATCCATTTAATCTAGTTTTCAAATTTATTGGCAGGAAGTTTTTAATATTTCTCTTTAGTACCTATAGATTTTGGGTAGGGTATCTTCTGTTTTCTAATACTGGCAATTTAAATCTTCCTTTTAACTTGGTTTGTCAAGAGGCTTATTAATTTTACTAATCCTCAAAGAATGAACTTTTTATCTCAGATTTTTATCTTGATTTTATTTTTAACTGCTCTGATCTTTATTATTTCCTTTCTTTGACTTATTTTGGTTTTGTCTACTTCACATTTCTTAAAGTTGGAAGCTGAGGTCACTGATTTGAAAAGTGGTTATTGCTATAGATCTCCCTTAAAGTGCTGCTTTACCAGCCTCCTAAAAATTTAACATACCATTTTTACTTGGTTCAAATACTTTATAATTTCCCTTTCATTTCTTCTTGGTTCCATAGATTATTGAGAATTGTGTAATTTAGTTTTTATCTCTTAGGAACTTTCCAAAGATTACAGATTTTTAATTCCATTTTTGTCAGGAAACATACATGAACTTGTTTTACACCCATTGAGATGCTTCATGTGTTCTGTGTGTACTTCAGAATTTATATGCTCCATGACTTTTTCAGTGTATCAAATTGACAGTGATGCTTAAATCTTCTATATTCTCACTGATTTTCTACTTGCTTTATTAATTATTGAGAAAGGGATATTGTGAATCTGCCAGTTCTCTTTGCATTTATCTTAGTTTTTAAAAATATTTTTAAGCACCTGTTCAGTATAAAAGTATTTGATTGTTGTATCCTTTTGAGTTCAGTTATTAAAAACAACACTGTACTGTTTATAACATGTAAAAATATGACAACAGTAACATCAGAAGAAAGAAAAAGAAAGATAGCTGTTATTTTTAAACATAGCTTTTTTCCCCCCATATACTTTACCGAAATGTCATTCAACTTAATTCTACCTCCTACTTGCTTTAATTATGACTGAGGCAATGAAAAGGATGTGCGTAGTTATTTTCTAGAAATATGAAGGTGAGTCCTTAAGGCTACATGAAAGCACCTCCCCATGCATTCACCTTTTCTACCTGGTTTGTTGGGGGTGGGGTTTTGGTACTGAGGTTGAAATCCGGGAGTGTTCTACCACTGAGCACTTATTTACTGATTGATTGATTGAGACAGGGTCTTGCTAAGTTGTCCTTGCTGGCCTCTAATTTGGGATCCTTCTGCCTTAGATTCCCAAATAGCTGGGATTACAAGTGTGTGCCACTGCCCAGCTATAGGCTTGTCTACCACATCTTCTCTTGTTGAAATGCCCATAACAAGAAAGAAGATTTGTTGTGGATTATTCAGGCATTTCCTTTAGGGAAGCGGCCAGTTAGTGTTGTTGTTTTTCACTTGCTATTATGATAATGGTTTTGTGGCTATTACAATAATGTGGGCATTCAGGCTTCTTTTGGATATCCTGTTAGGCTTGCTTCTTCAGGTTCTTATTCCTTTCTAGGAGCCAGCACCCCTCTTTGACCTTGCCATGCTTGCCTTGGATAGTCCTGAGAGCGGCTGGACTGAGGAAGATGGTCCCAAAGAAGGACTTGCTGAATACATAGTTGAGTTTCTGAAAAAAAAAGCCGAGATGCTGGCAGACTATTTCTCTTTGGAAATTGATGAGGTGTGACAGCAATTCTTATACTTTTATTGTAGTCTCCAGATGTTATAATCCTGAGGAGCAGATTAGGCCTCCCCCAGAAGCAGCATGTGACCTGCAACATCCACTCTACTCCGCATTTGCATTTCTAGGTTACAGAACTATACTAGCATCCATTCATGCCACTTCTGTTCTCAAGGTGAAGAATCCAGATGCAAGGGAGATAAATCCGAGTCCGTGAAGACTATAGTAAATGAGACTGTGCCACTTCCTCCAATTTCTTCCCTTCATTTTTGGGGATTTTCATCTTTCTGCATTCTTTGATTAGTGAGCAGGTCCAAAGGAAAGATTGTTCTGTTGCACATCAGGACAAAAAGCTGAGCTCTTCTGCCCCCAGTGCCCAGCCTAGCTGCATACCTAGAGTCCCAAAGTGGCAGGTCTGAGGACAAGGCCTGGGGAAGCACTAGAGAAATGTAGTTCATTTAAGCTGAATGGCATTGTTTCTTAATCCCTCTGTGGCCATTTCCCCCTGCAGGAAGGAAACCTCATTGGATTGCCCCTTCTGATCGAAAACTATGTGCCTCCTTTGGAGGGACTGCCTATCTTCATCCTCCGACTAGCCACAGAGGTAAATGATCAAACAGATAGTAAGGATATATTTGTGGGCTAAAGGGAAAAGGTGTATGACTCCATCCCATTTGAACTGTCAGTGATAAGGGTACAACAGCTAGTGGCCCCATGATCACCAATATTCATCAGCAATTACACAACTATCCAGTGTACAATTTTAGTGCCTTAAAAAGCCACATTTTATTTTTTTAGCTGTCTATGACCACATTTAGAAACGAAAATGTTTAAAGCATTACTTGTCTTGAAGTATTGAATTCTTCAAAATAGGTAAATTGGGATGAAGAAAAGGAATGTTTTGAAAGCCTCAGTAAAGAATGTGCTATGTTTTACTCCATCCGGAAACAGTATGTATCAGAAGAGTCAACCCTCTCAAGCCAGCAGGTACTGTGGTAATGCACACTGTGGGATGGGCCCCCACACAACCTTTCATGTCACTATTTATAAAAAGGTTCAAACACAATGGCCAGCTTTTGTTTCTTATTTCCTTTTGCTAGTCTAGAACATTTACCTCCAGAATGATTTCAGAAACTATCAGCTGTACAATACAAGCTATTAGTGAGAGGGAAACCTGAGTTAGACTGTCTAAGGCTGCTAGGTCTCTAGCTGCCTTTGTAGGCAGTTAAGTCCATGTCTTCATATTTTAGGTCAGACTTCCCAGTCTGTATCTACCTTACATCTCAACACTGCACAAAGCTCTATAATTTCTCTTACAGATCAGCTGGATACAAAGAGCCTGCGTTCTTAGTGTTTGTCTTTTTCTAGTCAGATAACAGTGTTTTTTCACTTGAACACATCATCCCTTGAGGTAAAGTGATCTGCTTCAGGTTCATCTATGAGGAAGCTGCAGGACAGCTGGCATGCTCAAGGATTCCCAGGGCCTTTAGGTGGTAGAGCAGAGATTCAGTCCTAGGTCTGTTGGCTGCTGTTTCTAAGAAATTTCTCACTCCAGTGAAGAACACAAGGCAGCACACTTGCCAAACTGTGCTGAGAATGTCTTTTTGATTGGAAAAATATACTTCAGATAAAAGTAAGATGACATTTTCTTGTACATGAGACAAATAATGCTTAAGAAAGGAATGACAAGGCAAAATGATCTTCATTTTTTCATCTGTGGAGCTTTTAGTAAAACACGGCTACTTGAACTTGGTGGTGAGCTACATATTTCTAGCTGTTGCCATCCAGGTATCAGTCAGGATCAGACAGTGCGTTAGATGCTGCTACTATCAGCATCCTCCCTGAATTAAAATAGAGGTCCCATAGGAGATAGCTCACAGAGCAGTGGTTGATTTTCCCCTCAGAAATCTCATTCCATATTTTCACGTCAGTGGGATTCCCAAAATACTGGTGTACAGAGGCCACTTCCCAAATCTAGACCACACAGCCCATTATAAGCCACAAAGACTTTCTAGGCCCAATGCCCATCCCATCAACCAGAAAGCCAGTATGCACCAGGAGGCTTATGCCATCTAATGTCTATTCCAGAGTGAAGTATCTGGCTCTACTTTAAACCCCTGGAAGTGGACTGTGGAACACATTGTCTACAAAGCCTTCCGCTCACACCTTATACCTCCAAAACATTTCACAGAAGATGGAAATGTCCTGCAACTCGCTAACCTGCCAGATTTATACAAAGTCTTTGAAAGGTGTTAAATATGATCACTTACGGTGTTTTATTTTGTATCCCGATGTTGTGAGTAGGACTTAAAGTTGAGTATTTGCACTAGTAGCGTACTTTCATGCACAGTGGATTAACTGTAAATAGTCAAATGTATCCTAATGTGATTTCATGTTAACTTCATTACACATGAAAATTTTTCTAGATCTGTTTTTATTATATACCAGACTGTTCAAGAATCCCAAAAGAAGTCTGAAAGCCACTGGGAATCTCATACAGTGCTCTTCAGGCACCATTAAGAATTATAAAATGGTCTTGAAGATTTCCTAGATCATTCTCTGATTTGATTCTTCCTGTATTCCTGGAAACTTCTATTAAGAGCTATACTGTGTGTCAGTTCAGATGCCTTTTAAAAGAACTTGAACAAGTAAAAGACTTAACATCAACTATTGAGAAATTTTGAATTAAGAATCTATCTTCAGTAACCAAAGCTAATTTATTAAGAGAAAAACTTGAGGGAAAATAGTCCTTATCCATTCTCTAACTGGTATAAATGTTTTGAGTTAATCTACTCTCTTAATGGCCATGACTACTAGCCACGTAAGTTTCTAGGCATTCTTCTTTGAAGAATAATATTACAATATCGATTTTAAACTATTTAGCCCCAAAATATGCCACCTTAATAATAACCTACATTGATAGATGCTTAAAGCACAGGGAGGAAGATTGCCTATAGTTTTAAGGTAAAATCCAAGTATAGTTCAGTTCATGAACTTAATTCTTTCCACAATTTAGTTGAAAACCGAATTGGATGAAAACTGAATCAGATTCAGTAATTAGGATCAGTGTTGACCTTGTAGGGAAATCTGATTCAGTTCTTATCCAATTTGGTTCACAACTAGTTCATGAACCAAGGTACCACTGTAAGAGGACTCAATGAATAAAGTTCTGTAGAAAAGAACAATACGAATGAAGCCATTTCATATGAAAAGGACAGACAACAGAATAGAAGCAGCGTATTTGTCATGCTATAAAAAAGGCAAGATCAGTTTCTAGCAGTTAAAACTCCAAACAGCAGACTGGGGCATGTCAGAAAGGAGGCTCCATGAGCCCAGGAGGTACACAGCCAAAGTGTCTAAGTGGAGAGGGAGTCTGGTTGCCCCGGGGAAGAGCTAGAACACACTGTGTTCCACTTAGGGGATAGGAAGCTAAAAATCTTCATTTCAAAACATCCTCTCACCCACCACCAGCCACACAACTGTTGTCACATCAGGAAATTTTCAGGAAGTCAGTTCACTTGAGGAGATTGGTTTCCGTATCTTTAAAGGGAAGGGGTAGTATTACTCTAAAGAAGGGAACGATTATTGAAGGTTTTATTCACTTTTGAGTTTATTATCTAGTTTCAAGTCTAGTTTTATTATCTTAAATGTCCTTAATTCATTAAAGTTTGCCCCAGTATATTTTCTGTGTAAGCATTTGAAGCTACATAATCATTTCCATAAAACCACCTTGATTCTGACAGTAAAAGAACATCACAAACCCTGCAAAGTGAATATACTTGTAACTTGATCAAAAACAAAACAAACTTCAGGTTGGGTGCCTTTAGATGAAATTAAAAGTTCTTAGAGGAAAAAGTTCTATATTCCAGGTTATTTTTTGTTCAGAGAGAAAAGAAGAGCAGCAAGAAAGGAGGGATATAGTTGCTATGATTTGCTTTTAAAGGTTTCTGTATCAAAATAAATGTGTCAGCAGCCAATCATGGTTGGCAAAAGTGTGTGTTTAATAGAATCTTCAGGCAGATTTCCTACCTGCCTACCCTGCCCCTCCCTCCACCTTAGGGCCCTAAGATGTCTGAGGTTTCATTTCACAAATAAGCAGCAGATGAAAATACTTTACAAGGTACAGCACAGTGGATATGGAAGACTAAGGACCGGACTTTTGCTTTAGTCTTGGACTTCCCTGGCCCATGCAGTGAAGCAAGTTTTATATACACTGCCCATGTATTCTCCTAACATTTTTTTATATAAATTTAAATATTTTACAAAAAAAAGGGTTTTTCTCTCCAAACAATTTTAGTGAAATACAGATTCTCCACCTGTGAAGTTGTTTTCTTCACTAAAGTATAAATGCTGATAGGAAGGGTAAATGTCTTTTGCCCACTGGAGGTCACTGAAGTCTGCACTGCACTGTGCAGAAGGCACTTGTGTTTTCTGAGGTCTCCAGCAAGTGCCTCAGTGAGCACTCAGAATTGCTGTCCTCCAGACCCCAGCCAAGGCCTCTGAGTGCCCAATCGCTGAGGCAGCTGGGGAAAAATGCTGAGTAAACCTGATTCTAAAATTATGGAAATTAAAAATAAAAACAGCATGGACCAGTTCCTAGTCTAAAATAAAACAACAAAATACAAAGTGTTCATTCATGAAGATTCAAACCTGCTTCATTCTCATAAATTATAAAATACAAAGGTGCCTGTTTTAATGACAAAACTCAAACAGTACTGAAAGGGGTTTGTGTCAATATACAAAAAGAGTCAGTCCCACTGAGCCGGGCCCCAAGGAGCTGCACACAGGCCAAAGAGCGACCCCTACTGCTGGGCCAGAAGTGCTGTCCTATTGGCCTTCATCTTCTCTAGCCGCTTGGCTAGGTGGCTGTTGGTCATTTCCATCTCTTCAATTTTGTCCAGTGCTGTTCTTAACTAGAGACAGGGAGAACATAGTCATTTTATTTGGTCAGCAAGATATTTCAACTTTCTGGAAAATGAAGCATTGCTAATTGCGATGGACTTGCACAGGATCTTGGAACAGTCCACACCACACCCCACCCACTGTCAGCTAAAGATGTGAACAATGATGCCGAACGAAGACTGATTATTTGAATCACAAAAAAGGATAGACGGAAGTTGCAAGAAACAACGTGGATCTGAAACAAAAATTAAAGCTGCTTTTTTTTTACTTATTAGGTAACTGACCAAAACATAAGTAAATGGCAATTGCTGCAAGTCCAAAACCAACCCAACTGAGGAACTACTTCGCTATTTCCTTAAGATCTGACCCACTATTAAATTTCTTACTAAAGAAATTTATCTCCGAAATATTTTGTCTTTTAGAACCGCAGTGTCCGAAGTAGTATATGGAAACCAGTACCTCTCGCTGTAGCTTCCTCTTTTCTGCTTTCAGTTCATCTTCAACTTTCTCAGCATTCTCAGCAGCAGTTTTATATCTCAGCACCTGTCCCTCAAGCCGACTAATCTAGAAACATAAGAACATCAAGCTATAGTATTTGCCACTGTTTAGCCAAAATGGAAATATAATATAATTACAATTTCCAAATAATCTAACACTAACAAATCTCCTTAGGGTCACAGTCAGCTCCTCTCAGATCCAACTACTGTTTATAAATCAAGAAAGGTCCCAGAGAAGATTATCGCTGTAATCATTACAGGACCAATTTTCCATGCTAAATTTTATGATGACTATATTGTTTAAGTACCAAAGCACTGTAGGAGGAAACTTGAGTGGCGTTTTTAACACTTTTGAAATGTACACTAAATGATTTTGTTATAAGCTATGATCTTGAATTCTCCTGAAATAGCTACAAAGAACAATTACAGCTATAATTTCCTGTGTTTTGAGAGAAAACAAGCCTGAAGTGCTCTACACCAAGTGCACTCCACTGGCTTTTCTTCTTGAAGAAGAATCTTTTAGAAATCCAACTGCAGAGGCAACACACAAAAACCCAGGCACTCTTAGTTTTAGCCACGATGGATGCCAGAAGCAGATGTGTTTTAAAAAGGAATTTAAATCACTTGCTACCATACAAAAGTACTTACACTTTGCTCCAAGGTAGTTATATCCTGCTCTGCTTTTGAAAGCTTAAATTTGTATTCACTTATTTGCCTGTTGGCATCTCCTAAAACAGAAGAAGATAAAAATTATCTCAGAGAGGAAAGTCTGAAGCATCAGGCAATGATGCCCTCTGCAGCATATAAAGGACCGTGAAGTCCAAGATCACAGAATAAATACTCAGCAATCAGGAGCCCAAGTTCAGGATTATGTACGCTGGAAGAAGCTCCAGCACTTATGTTGCAATAGTAGCCTTTGGATCAATGGGATAAGTCATTCTCTACCCTCTGTTGTATGTGAGAACTCAGAAGCCCTGCCAGGACGGCAATGAACCCTGCAGACTCATCTGCAGTCCTGTGAATCACAGGACTGGGATGTCTGGTTCTGAGAACCCAACCCTGCACCTTCCCACCTCCCAGGTTTTCCCTCTGCTCTCCCATTCCCCAAGGCCCCTGTCATCCTACTTCTGAATGAATTCTCAGCCTTCAAGACTGCTCATACTCATCTCCATATCACCCCTTCTAAATATTGTATATAAAGAAGCCTTGTCTTAGCCTTTTAGTAATTTTAATTAACTGCAGTATTGGGGATTGAATCCAGAGCCTTCACATTGAACTACATCCCAACCCTTTGTTTACTTTGAGATAATCTATCACCAAGCGGCTCAGGCTAGGCTTAAATTAGGCAATCCTCCTGCCTCAGCCTCCTAGAGTGCTGGGAGTACAGGCATGTGCCACCACATCTGCCTTAACTTCCTTAAATCAATTTCTGTACCTTGCCAAATTGCTTTGCACATGGTGTGTGCTTCAACAAATATTTGCTGAAGTAAGAGCTTTTGATAATATGTTGCAATAATATTTTATGTGCAGAGCTATGATCTACGGAATAAATGATCTGATTTCCATGCAAGCTGAGGCCTACCCAGTCTTTTTAACACAGTCCTAGTACCAGGCTTTCCCTGTTGATGGTGTCTCAGGGTAGCTGGAAAAGTCATTTGTATATTTCCAATTATTTTTGTATGTAGAAAATTTTCTAAAAAATATTTAACAAAAAGTAAAACTTCATGGAATTTTCCATTTTTACTAAAAGTAACAAAAATACTCCTGAAGACTCTGGCAGCCTGCTCATAATCTCACTCTGGGGACACAGCTCATATATAGACAGGGATTGGCCTGTCCTTTAACACTTACTCTGCATTTCGATGAACTGCAAGTCTGAGCCATTCTGCAGTCCTGCCAGGTCACCTTCTGTGCCATCGTTCCTGGAGCACTTTTGCCGTTCTTCTTCTAACTGCAACTTCAGCTTTCTAATCTGAAATGAAAAATAAAAATCACCACCAAGACCCATTCAAATCTCGAATGAATCAGATGTTTGGCCCAATAGCCATATAATAGAACAAGGCAGATCCTCCTAACAACCAAACATACCATTCATTCAAAAAATATTTTCTTGGGTACCTACTGTGAGACACAGGTTCTACATACTACAGATAAGCTCTACAGAAGTACTAAAACGATTGAGCTCTAGGATCAGGTGTCCTAATTAAACAGCAGCCAGGTGGTACATGTCTATAATTCCAGCATTTGGGAGGCTGAGGCAGGAAAATCACAAGTTTGAGGACAGCCTGGCTATACAGAAAAGTTCAAGGCTGGCCTGGACTAGGCACTGGGAGACCCAGTCTCAAAACAGAAACACATAAGGACCAGGGATTTAGTTCAGTGGGACGGCACCTGCTTTGCAAGCACAAGGTCTTGAGTTCGGTCCCCAGTACTGAAAACAAAACCCAGAAACAAAACAAGTGCCTTATTTTATGAAGTGTGTAGTTTATGGAACAGTAGAAGTATTTCTGTTATTTTTACTAAAAATGGAAACATCTATGAAGTTAGACTTTTTGTTCAGTTTTAGAGACAAGTTAAATATTCTTATCTAGAAATCTTTCTGGGGCTGGGATTTAGCTCAGTGGTTCCACTGCCTGCCTTGCAAGCACAAGGTCCCGAGATCAATCCCTGGTACCAAAAAAGAAAGAAAGAAAAATGTTTCTGTACAGAAGTACAGGTATACAAGTGATTTTCCCAACTGCCCACAACATCAGCAACAGGGGTCATGAGAAAGCCTGGCACTGGGATTAAACATTCTTTCCAGAGACAGCTCTGCCCTTTGACATATATAGGGTTTAGCACCACTGTACACCTTAAGGCAACCAAGCCTTATCCAGATCACTGCTATTTAAGTCCATTTCAGAAAGTGTCATCCTCTTGTACTGTTAAGCACAGGGCTCTATACAACCCAAACCCTCATCTACTAACCTTTCCTAATGCCTGAAATTCTTTTACTGAACCCTCCAGAGGTATCGGTGCATCACTAGCAAAACCTCTCCTTCCTCAACTGCTTCTCTGTTCTAGAAACATGCTGCCTCTGAAGAATCACGCTTCCTATGCAGCCTACCAAACACTGGCCATTTTATAAATTCCACAGCCTCCTACCACTGATCCCGGGAACGGAAAAGGTATCCACTTACTTTTATTGATTGCTGTTGCTGAACTATTCTACCTCCATCCACCTAGAAGCCCCAGTTCCTAATCTCATCTCTTCAAGTTATATATACTAACTACCTCTTATCATTGTTATCATCCCACTCCATCACCACTTAACCTCCTGACTCTCAATCCCTCTGGAATACTGTCTGAATTTTTGGTAACTGCAATACAGTACCAGCTCTTTCCTTTAAATCAACTCTCAGTTTCTAGGATATTTCCCCTCCAAGGATCTTACCCATCCGCCCCTTGCCCTCAGCCACTCACACCCAAGTCATGTATCATTACATAACCACAGTCTGGTACAACTTAAGTTTCATGTCGTCTCTCTCTAACTACAATTCCTTATCTTCCCAGACCACTCTCTCTAGACTAACTTAACATCCTTCAACCACACTGGTATTGTGCTTCCAATTCACTGATTTCATCTTCCCACTCTGTGCCTTGGTATTTTTCAACTGTCTTTATCCACTTTAATTTCTAGGTCCATCATTATCATCACTATCTTATAAATTCCCTCACCTCCCTTGTCATATTATACTTGCTGGTAAAAATCTCTTTTCACCCCAAGCCCATACTTAAAGGATTAAATATAACTGAAGCACAATTCGTTTAACATACCATGTAATTTCCTTAATTATGTTTATTTCTCTGATCTCTTTACACTAGAATGTAAGGCAGAAATTTTTTGACTGATTTATTTACTCAAACACCCCAAGGGCCTAGAACAGTACATGTTAAATGGTGAAATTTCACTTAACATTTGCTGATGATTGAATAGTAGTAATGGAAAAACTCAATAAAACCACTCAAGGAATTTTACCAGAATTGAATAGGCATTCCTAAAATTGACAGGGGCCCAGTCAACATGCATGAAAACTTCAAAACAGTAGGGAGAAAATAGGATACTAGCTCCATAGGAAAGGGGAGCTGTCACATACAAAAAATCAAAACTGTCCCCCAAATTCTCAACAACCACAATGAAAGAGAGAATAATGAAAAGAGTATGTACTTTTAAATCTGAAGGAAAATTACTGCAATCTAGAATTAGATACCCATCCAAACTACCAAATAAAAGGGCAAAATAAAGATACTTTCAGGGCTACAAGGTCATGAAAAATTAGCAGCCCACATCCCTCCCCTCAGGAAGTTAAGGAAGATAGAGCAATATAAGAATAAAGAAGGAAGACACACAAGAGTAGGAAAATGGAGCACAACCCCTATCACAGGAAAATCTCCACATACTGATGAAGGGTAATCGCATCTCTCTATGGAGGCAGTGAACATCAGAGTTCAGAATGGATGGAGTCAGATCCTCTGAGACTCATCAGATGGAACTTAGTAAAACTGACACATCTGAAAACACTAAGAGTGGGCTGAAATTACTGATTAAAACTGTGGATGTTGGGTGTGGTGGTACACGTGTATCATCCCAGAACTTGGAAGGCTGAGGCAGGAGGACTGCTGAGAGTTTGAGCTACACAATGAGTTCAATGCAGGCCTGAACTACATGAGAGATCCTGTCTCAAAAAATAAAACTCTGTGGCTAAGTTACTGATTTTAAAAATCAGACAAAACTAGAAAACTCACAACATTAACTTTACAGAAAACAACAGTTGTGAAGGAGATGAAAACTGACCCTAGAATGTAACATGGCTCTCCTGTGACCAGTGTTTAGAGACCCTGGATGACACACTGGAAGCAGGCTATTCTTTCATTAGGAACCTATGGGAATGGGAAGTATGCATGTGAGTAGCAGGGACGCAAAACAAAAGACACACTTATGTCCTCATCTTTCACAGAGGACCATCAACAGGGAAGCCTGATACAGAAAAATAAAGAAGCAACACAAGCATGTTACGCAGAGACAATACACATCAAGAGTCTGCTAAAAGAAATGAATAGAAATGGTCAGCGTTGACAGATAGGAGACTGCTGTCTATGACAAGCTTTATAGAACTAAATATCTCATTAAAGTTTGTGTTATACAAATTTTTAAATAAAAATATGAATTATCAAAGTAAAATATCTTTTTAATTTTTAAAAATTTCACTTGAGTGCTAAGATTTAAATAAACACATTCCAATTTGTAACGAATATTTTAATTTACTAACATTTTATCATGTAACTGAGTTTGACAAAATTACTAATATCTTCCAATGAGAAGAATGCCTTTACCTGTGATAATAGCTCTTCCTTTTCTCCAGCAAGTTTTCGTAGCCTTACATCTAAAATAATAAAATAAAAAGGGTTGCAAACTAAATTTGTAAAGAATATAAACAATTGTATACAATAGTATATAAACAATTAAAAAGAATTTCCCAAAGTCCTAAGTAGCAAACATCTCATGACTTACTTATAGGTCTGACAATGAAGACAGACTTTAAAAATATTGCAGAAGAGTATTTAATTATCCCAAATGTACTTCCACACAACTGATATTTATCAGAGTACCAAATATATTTGCTCCCAAAACAGTAATTTTTCCACATAAAAATAAACTCAAGTACAAAAAAAGCCATTCTTTTCTTTCAAAAAATTGTAAGCTTTCACCAGTAGACAGACAATTGAAATGCTAAAAGCATTTGCACAGGCTTATACCCTTAGCAGGAGAGCTCAAAACAAGTGAAAGAAGCCAAAGAATAAAAGGGCTTGGTGGGGGCAAGCTAGAGCAAAGAAAATAGAGGAACACAATGTTGAAAGAAGCAAGTTCCACATATGCTAGGTGGGTGAAGAGAAGGAAATCCTCTAAGATGAGGATAGCTAAGAGCAAACTGAGGCTGTGGAACTGAGTTGTGAAGGCTTCCTCCTGGCCTGCAGAGAAAACTGCTTCTTCCCAAGTGGCATTTAAAACAGGCCTAGTAGGCTGAGGAGATACCTCTAGTTCAGTAAAAGAAGTAGCTGACATCTGGTCTACCACCACTCACAATTACAGCTAAATGTGTTCTGGTTTCTTCAGCACCTTCCAAACAGGCAGAAGGAAACACCCTGAGCTCCCTATGACTATCTACTCATTTCATTCTCTATATCCTTCTCACTCACCTAGCATCCTGTTTTATCAAAGTGCTCTACAATTAATTACATTCCTGGAATTCTGCACATTGTAAATGTTTTTAAAATGTTTTCAGCTTGTGCCATTCTTACAATACCTCCCATTCCTGTAGGCAACCAACACATATATAAAACAGAAAAGGAAAAAAATATTGTCTTCCAATAAATAAAAATGAACTGATGACACATTTTCTATCTACTATTTTTCATCCCCTTGAGTAGGACCCTTAATGGTAGCAATGGATAAGGACCTCTGCGGTTTCCTAGGAAGAGGTGTCATTAGATTCTCAAAGATTTACATTTAAGGGGTCTAAATTTTAAGAGGCTTAAAAGCCTTTATCTGGGATTTACACTCCTCTTAATACTTATCATGATCATCTATTTCTTCTGAAATGTGGTTGCAAAGAGTTACAAAACCCTGGGATAAGTAGTGGAAAAAAACCAGATGTTCAGGAAGAACCTACAACCTACTTGCAAAGTATCTTGCCAGCCCACAGCTTCCCTGGGATGATTGTGCTAAATTCTGTTTGCATAAAGTTTGTATTACATGAAAAGCAGTATGTAGAGACCCATAGTGCTTCTACTCAGGGGCCTGATAACTATGCTTACTATCTTTTAATAACTCATACTCTGGCAAGATCAAGGATGTCTGAAGACAGCGTGTCCAGATACTTATTAAAGATGCAGGCAAGTCTCAGTCAGGTGACCTTTATATGCTGTTTTTGTTTTCCAAGCTGGGATATAAACAAGCTGGAAGCCCAAAATTAATCCAAGACAAAATGCAACCAGTGTCTTACCTAATGGCCCTTCTCCTGCTGACTCCAAGACCTGAGCAGCTTCCTGAGACACAACAGTAATGGCTCCAACCACTGGTTCATGACTGACATCACCATTGGGAGTGCCATCAGGGATTATAACTAAGCCATGTTTCTGTGTGGAAGAAAAGGAGAGAGAAAAAACAATCCACCATCACAAAAGATGGCCCAGATGGAATCAGGAAGCTCTGTGATGTAACTCTGCAACAATGTGTTTGCCACAGGTAAAACCTAGTTAGAAATAGCTATGCAGAAAATACCTCTGTGAAGGAAATGACTTAATATACCATATCAAAATTGCATTCAAGATAAGAAAGATGATAGGATGAAAGGAAGGAAGAGAGTAAAGCAGTAAGGGATCTGAGCTCCAGGCTCATGCTAACATACCTCTCCTGTCTTCACTGTCTCCTGCAGATCAGCCAGTTCCTCTCTGAGCATATCTCGCTCATTCCTAAGGCAGGCAATGTATTCTTTCTGTTTCTCTAGGGCCTGGTATTAGGCAGGGTAGCAAGGGAAAGAATGGCACAGAAAAAAGAGCAAGTGAAAGGTAACTAATCCAAATAAGTAAAGATAAAAGCATAAAAAGCAAGGAAGCAGTTAAAAGGTTGGAAGCAAGCAATCAAGGGAGGAAACAGTTATTTGTATATGGATTATACATGTCCAGAAGATTTTAGTAGAAACTGGTTCTTGTGCATAAAATTTACAATACATGCTTATCACACTAAGCAGGAGGACAAATCTTTCTTTTCCAGTCAATAAAGAAAACAGGAAAAGGAAGATGAAGACAACAAAGAGTTCAAATTTCCTTACTGAACTCCTGAGTACATTTTCATTTGGTGAACGAAAAAATTGATTTCATGTTTAACTAAAATAGTTTATTCAAAAATATATTGACATTTTAAAATAAAAATGGCTCTGGAAGAAAAATAACTGTATACATGTTATTTTAATCAAATATTAGTTGTGTGGTTCTTCTCCAAGTAGCATGACAAAATATTTAAATACCACTTAATCTAAAAAATAGATAATCTCCAAGAGGATTCAATTAAGACTCACTTGGTTTGCTGAAATACTTTCGAAGTGTGAAAAACAAAAATAAAAACCCTGGACAAGATATAGCCCACCTATGGTGAGTAGAAGATTACAGATTTCAGAATCAAGTTCTTGAGTCCTGGCACATGCTTAATTTACCTATGTCTCAATTTCTTCATCAGAAAAAAACAAAGGATAATAGCATCATCCATCTCATAAATAGAGGCTAAAAACAACTCAGCATAAAGCATTGCCTATAGTTTATGACAACAGGAGACATCTCAGGGAAACCACTGTTTTCACTGGGAATTTCCTGTCATATCCTGAATTCCACAACTGTCAGAGCTGAGAAGGTAGTGCAGAAGCGGGAACGTACTTTGGTCATCAGTGACAAATGAAGTCTATAGTAACTATATAATAAAAAAACCCCAGACTTTAAAAAACACTATCAAGTCAAGCAGTCCAAACATAAAAGCTGGGCAGTTTCATAAAAGCTTTTCTGTACATATTTCTTCTTGTATTTGTGTTTTCTACTAGCATTCCTGTTAACTGAAGAAGTTAAATTATAACAGGTAACTCCTCCTAGCTTACTAGGTTCAGGAGTGGCTGGGCAGTTTTTCAAAAACATTGCAATCCTATTTGGCAACCAAACTGAGAAGAGGAGCAATACGATAGCAACTACCATATGTGTAGGACATATTATAAGGCAGGAACTATTTTATAAATTTATATATTTCACCCTTATATACTATTATATATATATATATAATATATATAATGCCTCCCTTAAATGCCCTATATAATGCACTACTTGTCTCATCCTCCTTTTGCAGATCAGAAAATCTTAAGGCTCAGAGAAGTTTTTGTTTTGTTTTTTTGCTCAAAGTCTCAGTAAATAACAAGGCCAGAAAACAAATTCAGTTATTTTTAGTTCTAAAACCCTTGCAAAGTTTTTTATATCACAGTCCCATACAGGCTGCATTATGTTTTTTTTTTTGTTTTTTTTTTTTGGTACCAGGGATTGAACTCAGAACCTTGCACTTTAATGAGGCAGGTGGTAGGACCACTGAACTAAATCTCCAGCCCCTGCATGTTCTTTATCCAAACTATAATGTCACCATCTAACTTTGTACAATTTATATTCACACTATCTCTGAAATTTATCTGTTAAAGTGATAATTTAAGTTTCTACCAGCATATAGCATTTAGGGTATCAAGTTAGTATCAACACTCCACTATATTAACAACTAAGCAAACATGGGAAAACAAAGCACAACAACACTTTCCTACTCATACTCACTTTTTCTGTAGGTTTAGGTCTTTTTTATTTTTTTGGTACCAGGGATCGAACTTGGGTCCCTCGCACTTGCAAGACAGGCAGCAGAACCACAGAGCTAAATCCCCGGCCCAGTACTTTTGTTTTTGATATCTGCATGCATGGTTGTACAAAGCATCAGCACATGTAACTGAGTAAATGATCACTGCCATGACATGCTCTATATAAACAGTATCATGGAATATAAAAGAACCCTTAGGAAAAGACCAATTTGAAACTAGAAGTTCTAGCAAATGCTAGTCTAAGACATTTGCTCCCTCTTTCCATGTTTGTAGCACTGAGTTTTATTTATAAATTTAGACTTTTTAATTTCATCTTCCCACAATTACAGATGAGAAAATAAAATATATCCTATATAACTGTCCGTTTCACCACAACGTTTAAAAAATACTGAAATAACTTATAATTGGATCAAATGTATTCATGCTGGATATGAAATCCTCTGTATTACCTAACCATATAATGATCGCCCTTGGGTTTGCATGCAACAATAGTTCTTAAGATTTTTTTTTTAGGGTGAAAAGTACATGTTTGTGGAGCTCTAAATAATTTTTATTTTGGACCCAACCTCAAATTCTAGCATCAAGAAGTCAAATGAGTCTGTACAATAGTCTGAACTTTTGGGCAACAGGTTAAATCACCATGTAATTGCACAGGGCACAAATATAACTAGAAGGAGAATGAATTTATGCTGGTTTCCAGACATATCCAAGTAATCACATATGCATGTTCATAGCAGCATTATTCACAACAGCCAAAAGTCAGGAACAACCCAAATGTCCATCAATGGAGACAAATGGTATATACATAAAATGAAATATTATTCAGCCTTAAAAAGAATATTTACTCTGATACTGCTGCAACACTGATGAATCTGAAGGATATTATGCTAAGTACAATAACCCAGTCACAAAAATATAAAATTGAATATCATATGATCCTACTCATATTAGGTACACTTAGAGACAGATAGAAATGTGACTTCTAGGGGAAGGGGGTGGGGGTGACAGCTGTTTATAATAAATACTTAGCCCAGAAAGATCAAAATGTTCTGGAGATAGACAGTAATGATACCAGCATAGCTGGTTTTGAAATATGTTCCATTTGGGATAAACAAAGCAAAGGGTATGCATGATCTTTCTGTAATTTATATACATAGTTGTGTATCAATATAAAATGTTCTCAAAAAAAGTTTAATATTGGGTCCAGGATTTAGCTCAGTGGTTCCCCCATCTGCCTTGCAAGTACAAGGACCTGAGTTTGATCCCCAGTACCCCCCAACCAAAAATTTAGTATTAAAAAGTCAAAGCTTTAAACACATTATGGTATAATCATAGAATGAAGGCTTCTACTCATTCAAAAAATGTCAAGACAACTGAAAAGCTGAGTAATCTATCTTAACCATCAGTATTTTTTTTTTTGGTAGCAAAAATTTAAAAATAAAATTATTTTTTTTAAAGAGCTATTTTATTGGACTAAGAGTTGAAGGTTTTACTACAGCTACTCTAATAAAATCAGTTTAAAATATTAAGACAACTATACAAATTGGAAACCCTGGATCTGCAGATCTGTGCTAAAGAAAATTTTGTAATGTCCTAAAAGAAGCCTATTCTAGATAATGACTTGACTTTAACTACACAAATTGCCTACTTTGTGTCACATATTTTTCTTCCCTCACTTTAAATTCCCCAACTAAAAATTTAAATAATATTAGCAGTTCACAATTATACTCTCAAAATAGTACTGTTCATTTGTCCCCCAGAAAGCTTTGCTAGGTTTGGGTAGTTTTAGAAACTCAGTAATTTAAATAATATGACATTAGCCTTAGTTCTTTAAATTTTTGGTCTAAAGACTCAAGAAATGATGTGGTTTTTCCTCTTTGTTAATTAATGAGAAGATAGGGTAGTTCAAGTAATAAAAATAAATGGATACTGCTGACCACCAGCTGGGCTTCAGAGAGCCCCTAACAATGGCAGTAATTCAGAAGATTCACTTTTGGGCATGTCACTCACTGCTGCTGCTCTTGGTGATCTTTGCCAACTTTACTCTACCTAACCTCAACTAAAACAAGACTTTTCTCATTTGTTGTTTCTTCCACCACAGCCTATACCTCTCAAGGTAAGCCTCTGGCAGGTGTATACAGTATAAATGGCCCCTAAGATCATGAGGTGGGAATGCCGATCAAAGGCCAGATGAAATAAGGACAGGAATTTTTTCAGCTTCTAGTATACTTGGCATCTACCTTGGCTAAGCCCCCAAAATCAAAGAAGAATATTTCCTTATCTGGGCCCCTGCTTTAGGGTGTTTTGGGTTTATAATTAGAGTTGGCATCATAGTTTAGCAACTCATCCAAGTCTTACATTCCTATCTCCTTCCATGATTAAACTAATTTTAATCTCTTCCTATTTTGTTCACCAAGTATTTATAGGATGCTAATAACTTTTCCCCATTCCCACTATCTTGTTTCTTACTCAAATTCTTATAATATAAGAATATCAAACTACTCACAGAGTTTGAAATAAATGCCTGTGGCTGCTTCTGGATAAGAATCCAAGGGGCATAAGAACAATTTCCTTTGGAAGTTCTTACTTGTAGGTTTCACAAGCCCTGAGTTAGCCAGAAAGAAGAGTTCTTTCCAAGCATAGTATCAGGTTTTCCCATGAAAGCCCCTGTGTTTTGTTTGTTGGTATTTCACAATGCATAAATGCTCAAGAACAGTCAAAAAGACAGATTTTCAGAAATCTCTAAGTTAAATTCTATTGGTCAATTCCTCGTGTAGATGAGCTTCTAATGAAAGCCCAATTTCATCTCATACCCCAATTTTTTTATCTTTCCAAAGAAGTGTCTCCTGGAGGTCAAACACCTCTTTTGTCATGGTGTCTATTTTCTGCTGCATACGCTGATTCTCCTGCAGAGGAAGGGGTAAAAAAATAATAAAAGAGCAGAAATAAAAAAGGGAGGGAGTTAAAAGAAGGAAAACAGAATAAAAATAAAGTTGAAAACTTTTAAAGAAAGGTATGAAAGTCTGTGATAAATAGAAAAAGAAAGAAAGACGATGTTCAGAATCTTGGCAACATAAGTCTTGCTGGCTTGCCTCTATAAAAATAATCAAGGGAGACCCTGGAGATGTACCTCAGTAGTAAAGCAAGTGCTTAGCATGCGCAAAGCCTTGGATTCTATCCCTAGAACTACAGAGAGAGGGAAAAAAAAAAAAAAAAGGCAAAAGCAAGCAAGGGGACTGGGAATAAATAACTTCCAATCACAGATATGTGGGAGCAAGCCAGACAGGGTTTCTGTATATATACAGCTCCATACGTATACTCTTCCTTTGACAGGGGCTTTTTTTGCAAACATGGGACAATGTGTACTTCTAGAGGAATCTACAACAGCAAGAAGATCCTGAATTACAAAGGAAAAACTGGTTTTTAGAAAAGCTGAAATTTGACATTTAGTTAAATGAACTCGTCTTGATTGGGCAAGGATGCTTAGTTGATAGCCTCTTAACAGCACCCACCCCTTGGACTACTGAAAACTTATCATCATCTATCTACTTTTCTCATTCATACATTACCTGCTTTGCCATGAAATTCTCAATTCTAAACCAGAAAGTGTTATTTGTCATACTCAAGGTTTTTCACTTCTATGTAATCCTGGCCACTAACATCTAAAATATTTCAGGTGTAAACATAAAAAACCCTGGGGGAAAAAAAGAAACCTGAAAACTAAGGTTTTTAAAGTTTGTATACTCTACACCCTGGGGCTTTTAAAGAAGCCAAAGTGACAAATAATAGAAATAAAGCATAATCCTCTTAAATGTAATTACACGTTAAAAACTGAAAGTTAGCCCTAATTTAAGCTACTGAATTTGAGAAGCAGCTCCAAAAATAGTTGTTTATTATTATGAAATACTGCAGGGAAGAAAGTATTCATCTTAAATAGAAAAAGAAATAAGTGTTTGGTATGCTGACATAAAAAGACAAAAGGACAAAAGGGAAAAGGATTTCACGTTTTTCTTAAATAGTAGTAGGAAACAATTTAGATAGCTTCCTACCAGATTTGAAAAAAATGAGCACATCAAACTTACTTATAATCTGACAGATCCAAAGGATCATCTGTATCTGCATTTCGAATCTATAAATTCTAGGTTTGATTTTATTTTTCTTAAATGTCATAAAAAACTACATCAAATTCAAAAATAAAAAAGTAATTTTCCCCCTCTTATTAAGTGGTTCCTGTAGGTCATTTACAGGGAAAGAAATTAAGTACTGCAGGTCCCTAGGGGAAGATAAAAAGAAGGAAAGACGGGAATGTGCACAAGTGTAGCGAGTTATTTCCCTTGGATCTCTAAGAGTTGGCCTTCCTGGTATCACTATGTTAGTGCTGTCAACAACACTAAATTAATGTTAGAAGCCCTTGATAACCACACCTAGATAATGGGAAGGATCCTCTTCACACTTCAACTTCAGGAGGAAAAACCACACTGAAAGAATAGAGATACATGCAAAGTACTAGGCCCACAGGATGATAAATACTTTGTAAAGTCCAGATGGGAGGCTGAGGTAAGCAGACAACCTGGAGTTTGAGGCCAGCCTGGGCTATATACTGAACAAGGTCAGCCTGAACTACACAGCAAGACCCTGTCTCCAAAAAAAAAAAAAAGTTATTGGTGGACTAACTCTATTCCACTTAAGCTATTACCAACAAGGTGGCAAAAACCTAAACCTCTACACTACCCAACCTTCACCTTTTGTATGTGAGGTACATGTCTGGACAATTTTTTCTTTTTCATTTAGCTACCTTAGAAATGTATTTAACTGGGGCTGGGGATTTAGCTGAGTGGCACCGTGCCTGCCTCACAAGGTCCTGAGTTCAATCCCCAGTACTGGGGCGGGGGGAAAGAATCATATACCAAAAAGTGGAATTCTTTATGTTCCAAAGAATAATGTTACTATAACATTTTTCCTTTTGCCCATTTCCTACAGTATCTTTAGGAAAGTGTGCTTAGGCATAAAAGACACTTAACCAAAAGTTTCTGCTATTAAAGGGAATATAGGCCTGCTTTTATAGCTCATGCTGAAAAATTTTAGGACAGCCAAATGTGAAGAACAAAGTGACTCTTTATAGATTTTAACTTTTTTCTCCTCCCAACACATATATGACTTCATCCTATCCAACTCATTTTTTTCAAAATTAAGTATTTCCACAGTTTACATACATACCTCAATAAGCTCGTCTCTTTGCCGAAGGCCTTCTTTAAGTTCATCCATCTTACGCTGCAGCACACTACACATATGTTTCTGCCTTTCCAACTCCTGTTAAAAAATAAATGATGTCATTACACAGGACACGGCACACAACACATTTGAAAACATGCAATACAACAAAGAAGCCAAAGTATTACATCCAGAAATGCTCCTGAACTGCTGATTGAGACTAACCCACAAACACTACATATTCAATAGAAAGGTTCAAACACTAAAATTTTCATCTCGTATGGGATGAAAAGAAAAGCAGAACAAACTAGGCATTTAATAAAAAAAATATCCACAGAGTAGGAAAAAACTACTATGCTAAAAATGATGCAAAAATCTAAAACCTCAATAAGAGGAAGGGACAATAAATTAAACTACATAAAAACTAAAATTTTTGAATGGTAAAAGATACCACAAAGTAAAAGATAATGACAAACTACAAAAGTGTAGTTTATATCAGACAAGAGATCATATTCAAAATCTTTAAAAACATCTCTGAATGTGAAGATGCTCATATGAAGAAATATGCAAACTAAAACCATATTTCTAACTAAAACATTAGTAAAGTCCAAAACATTTACATACAGTTTAGCACATATATCTTTAAACCCAGAATTCCACTTTAAGACACTTTATCACAGGTAAATTTGCAAAAACAATAAAGTCCTAATGCAATACAGTATATTACTTTTGATGGATTACTTAGGACACTGCAACAACCTGAATGTCCGAAACCGGTGGAATAAACTGTCCACACAATAGTCTAACAATGCATGGCAAAAAAGAATGAGGATGATGTCTTTATACTATTATCAGAAAGTGATAAAAATCAAGATACAGAACAGTATTTATAGTGTTCTACCATTTTCTAGGAAAGGAATGATACAAACTAATATATTGAATTCATATGTATAGAATTTTGAATGAAGTATATTAACATTGAAAGTTCTAAAAGTTTTGCCATCATTGTATGTACCTATCCTTTTTGACTAAAAATGTTTAATATACCTTCTTGGATTTAAAAAAAATGAAAATATAATACATTAAATTTTAAAATTCCATAAAAAGAAACAGAAATAGGATGAAGATAAAGATTATATTTTTTCAAATGTTTCTTTTTTTGCTGCTTTGATTTTGTGAGACAAATGTGTAATTTGTATATATAGTAAGTCAAAGTTACATTTAAAAAGCATTTTCTAAGGGAAACAACCCAACGTCCATCAACAAATGAATGAATAGACAAAATGTAGTATGCATATAGTGTAATTTCTTCAACCTTAAAAATAAAGGAACTTTTCAAATGCTACAACACAGATAGCCTTGAAGATATGCTAAGTAAAATAAGTCAGTACAAAAAGACAAATGTTGTGTAATTCTACTTATAAGAAGTACTTAAAGCAATCAAATTCATAGATACCAAAAAATCAAATGTGGTTGCCAAGAACAGAGAGAAATGGGGAATTGTTTGATGGATATAGAATTTTAGTTTTGCTAGGTGAAACAGTTCAGGAAATCTGATAAACAACAATGAATATACTTAACATTAGTAAACTGCACCCTTTTAGAATTGTTAAAATGCTAAATTTTATGTTGCATTTTTTACAATAAAAACTTAAAATTTAAAAAGCAGTTCCTACATACTGAAGATAAAAATGCAGTGAAATAAACTCTACATCTAGCTAGTAGCATAAGAAAACAAACTATTTCAAGTAACATTTCAAAACAGTGCTTTGGCTATACATAGTCTAGTGGCAAAAATAAAAGCCAAACCAAACCACTTTTCAACCAATAGTACTGCTATTTTGGGTCATGTGAAATAAACAATAAGAATATAATATAACATAACAACTATCATCTCCAGTGACTCTGAGAACAAGGAGTTGCAATGTGAGAAAAAAAAGAGATACAGATGTACAACAAAAGAGGTTAAGTAAAATCCCTACAGTCCTAATATAAACTGAAACAGTAAGAACAAACTCACAATATATTTTGTAACCAAAAACAAAAAATCAACTTACATATTTCCCAGATATAAACAACTTAGAAGCAATGAGCACCCCTAGTACCCACAGTGCTCCACTAAAAGAGGACTAGGGTTCCTTAGACAAATGGCAGATTTCAGGTCAAGGACAGAATATGTACAAGACGAGAAGGGACAATCTTCTGTCAGAAAGCAAAAAAGCTACCAGATACATTTGTATTCATCAAAAGTGTTTGGAAATCAATCTGAAGAGGCTCATAAAATGAGACAATTAAAAAAGTGAAACATCAAAAAGAATAAAAGCCACCATGTACTAAAAACATTAAATGTTTGAACTCATGGTTTCATAACGATATTTTAGAAAGAAAACAAGCAACTGGTCACTATGAAAGGATGCTAAATAAATTCCTAACTTTGAAAATTCATAAAGCAAAGAATCAATTTTTTCTTGCCTTTCCTATGTAAACTATTTTATCTGAGTAATAAGTCTCTGTTTAAAGATAGACTTACAAAGACCTGAGTTCAATCCCCAGTACCAAAAAAAAAAAAAAAGATTTTAAGATAGACTTAATAAACAAAGCAGAAGAAAGTAAAAAGACAACCTGCAGGAGAGAAAATTATTTGTAAACTATATTTCCAGTAAGAAATTTATATCTAAAATATAAACAACTTTCACAACTCACTAAGACAAAAAACCCAATTAAAACATGGGTAAAAGATCTTACAGAGATTTCTCCAAGGAAGATTTGGAGCCAATAAAAATATGTTAAAAAATCATTAGTCTCTCAGGGACTAGCCTCTAAGATAGCTAGAAGTAGAAAGTCAGATAATAGAAACTGTTGGTGATGATGTGGAGAAATCAGAACCTGCATGTACTATGTACTACTAGTAAGGAATGTAAAATGGTGAAGCTATTGTGGAAAACAGTCTCGCATTACTCAACAGATAAACACAGATTTACAAAGCGATCCAAAAATTACAGTCCCAGATAATTAAGAGAACCCCCCCCAAAAAAGAAAAGAAAGTCAAGAATAGGGAAATATATAGATACACAGTAAATAAATCAGTGATTACTTGTAGCTGGGAGTAGAAGGGGGAGATAAGATGACAGCTAAAGGATATATGTGGTTTCTTTGTGAGGTCATAAAAGTATTCCAAATGTGTGTGGTGATGGGTACACATATATTTAAATATACTACAAAACATTCAACTGTATAATTTAAATGAATGAACTGTAACTAGATCTTAGTAAAGCTAATAAGTTTAGTAAGAATAAATAAAGCAGTAATAATAAAATCTGAACATCCTATTACACAACCCCTAATCAACTATGAGATCTATGCATCCAGCTATGGCATCACAAAGAGAAAGTCACACAACTGGGCCTCCTAAAGGAAGATAGTAACACTACTTTATGGAGTAGACATACCAAAAAAGCTAAGATTAAGCCACTACACCTAACATATTCACAAGCACTAGAGGGGAAAAGGAACATGGCAAAGATGTTATACGAATAAAATAAAAGACTAGGAAAGCGGTTAGCAATCTAGTTTCTTCACATAAATTGCAAGGGAGAAAAAAAGTGAAAGGGAACCTGTTTACTAATTTTAAGGTATGGAACTTAACTGGATCCTGATTTTTTTTTTTTAACTATTAAAAGGAAAACCATTTAAGGTACTTTGAACTAATGAATATTAATAGGGACTGAATATGTAACACGAAGAATATTAATTTTTTAGGTATGAAATGTTCTTTATGTTTTTAGAGACTATTGACTAAAATTCATATTAAAATATGGGGTGATTAGAACTTGCTTTAATATGAAAGCAAGAGAAATGGACAGGGCAAAACTGAAGACAGGTTGACAGTGGCTGGGAGCAAGTGGTAGGTTCATGAAGAGTCATTATATGGGCTGGGGATTTAACACACAAGGACCCAAATTCAATCCCTGGTACCAAAAAAAAAAAAAGAGAGAGTCATTTTATTCCTCCATATGCTTTTAATGCTTAAACCCTGTAATAACTGTAATAATTTTTTTAAATGTCAAGCCAATTTCCTATTAAAATAAAGAGCTATTAAGAAGAGTTAATATTCTGTCCCTGAAGCAAACATAGACAAAAGGTTTAAGGTGCAGTTATTTTAATTTCAGCAAGAAGCACTAAAAACATTTTGCAATTTTTATCAATATCATTGTTTTTGTTGAATGGACCTTCTCTACTTTCCTCATCTGCTGTTACAATGAATCACACCAGGGAACCTGGCCTCTGTATATCTACATATATGAACACTCAACTATGTGAGGCAATACTCGTATCTGTTTGGAACAAGAGAGCTGAGGATAAAAGTATATGGGCAAGAGACACCATCTCAAACATGCATCAGTAGGTGAAGCAGATTTTCAGGGTATTAGGCTTACAGACTCTAAACTGGAAAAGTATAAAACTTTAAAAATCTCCTATGCATACTAAGATATTTTTCTTAGAAAATGATAGGAAAAACCAAGTTGATTAAAATAATTAATCATGTGAATTTTTATTGTTAGAAATGTCCAGGGATATTTGAGACAGTGAGATAACTCACTTTAGTTCTGATCATTAAATACTTAACATGAAATTTCTTCTAATCTGTAGGAGACAGAGATATAAAAAATTTGTGGTGAAGCAAAAAAAAAAGAAACAACAGAACTCTAGGTAAAGCATCACAGCTCAGAATCTCCGAAATTGGCTTGTAAGGCACAAGAAGAATGAAAGAGGAAACCACCTAGTACAGCCATCAAATCATACTTTTTAATGAACCACTACTGATCCAAAATGAAAATATCTAGAAGCTGCTTCTTCACTTATCTAGGTAAGTCCACATTTCCTAACTTTTTTCTAAAGAATATTAAGGTCAGAGTAAAACTGCACAATTATACCTACTAATAAAACCCCTGCCATCAGAGTGGTACATTTGTTTGAATCAATAATGACATCATTATCAAAGTTTAGTTTACATAAAAGTCCACTTATTGTGTTCAACATTATATGTGTTTGGACATGTGTATAATAACATGTACCCACCACTATCACATGGTTACAGAATAATTTCACTGCCATAAAAATTCTCTGGGTTCTGCCTATTGAACTATACTCCCTTCCCCTACCTCCTGGCGAGTACTTCAAACACTTTTTGAACACAATCAAAACAAATTGGAATGGGTATTTCCAGTCCCCCAAGAAAGAAATCCCTATAAAGACCACATTAAGAATTCTGCGGTCTTACAAATTATATAGCTTCTTTCTCATTATTATGTTCAACATTTCCTAAATAATTTTCTAGATTTTCTTTACATGAGCAATGTAATAACAATTCATTTATGGCAGCAATATTCATTTGTCCCCTACTTGGACTTACATGAATACTTTAAAATGTCCAGTACGCTTTTAAGAGAAACAACGTGTTTTCTGCAGTTGCTAAAGGGTAAATTATCTGGACTCTGACTATACATTTTAACAATATAGCTTTAACCTCTAAAGAAAACATCTGTTAATTTCTGACTCATATCTCTACACCAGTTTTTAAATAAAAGGTTAAAGACTTACTTTAAAAGTGGGTACTCTTAAGTTTATTAAAAAAAGAAAAGCACTGTATCATTGAGAGTCTCTAGAGCCTTGTGGTAGTGCCAGCCACTTAAACAGGAAGAAATAATTTGCTGTAATTGTCCCAATTAAAAGAAAATAAAGATAAAGCACTTGTTATCTATTTTCAAGACACTAAAGGAGGACATAAAATTTTTTAAAAAACTGATATCATATGGTGTTCTCCCAATTTTATTGGCCCATTCAGTTTTGACTAGTATACCATTTCCAAGTGGACTACAACCTTTTTTTTTTTTTTTAATCTAGGGAGATTGCACTACCTCTGTTTGTTTGTTTTTTTTTTTTAATTTATTTTACTTTGAGATAGGGTCTTCATAAATCACTCACAATGGTCTAAAACCTTCTATCCTCTTGCCTCAGCCTCCCAAATAGCTAGGATTACAGGCATGTACTACTGTGCCCGGCTAATCCCATCACTTTTAAATAGCAAGTTTTTATTTCTGACCCAATAAAATGGTATAATAATGCAAGAAACATTTTTTGTATGTAAGTCTCATGTCTCTTGTTTCCAGAAGAGATGCATTTCATAATCAACCAGATTATTAAGAATATTAAAATGAAAATGGTATGATAAAAGAAAAGCAATTACCTTTGATTTTTCTTCATTTTCTCTATAAAATTCTGCCATCTGTTCCTCCTGTTCTTCAATTACATCCTTGAGGGTATCTACCTGGTATATCAAGTTGTTCTTCTCATTGTCTAATTGTGCATTAGAAACCATGGCTTTCTTGTATTTCTCTTCCACTTCAAACAAAGACTCCTAAATAACAAAGTAATCAGCTTGAGATCTAAAATAAATACATTTCATGTATGCAATGTAACATGAAGTTATAGCACTGGCACAAACATAAAGATGCACTTTTGCAAAACAAGCAGTTTGGGAACTCCTTGTTTAGTAACATGCACATAAAATAGGAAGACAATGATAAGCCAGTAATGCCTTTCTAGAAATGTATGTCCTCTTTGCTCAGCAGAAAAATCAACCAGCAATTGTAGCCTCCAAAAGATGAAAAGGTACGCAGAAAATATATATTTGTAAACATCAGAAAATATAGTATTAATATTTTCAGAGACACTACTCTTCTAACAAAATGCCTGGTATTCAGAGTACAGTGACAGAAGATAGCCTCCCTCTGCATATGTACATTTCATATACATATGAATTTTGCCACTCACTGGACTTGTTTGCAGTACTTTTCAATTGAGCATAATAATGCTCATATATATGTGCAAACATTATTTCTAGCAATTATTCAAATTTAGTCATTTTAAAATAAGCAATACAAAAATGAATATTTTTAAAACTACCACACAATGCTTGAAATTCTACATAATGCAATGTGGTTTCTACCTATGGTAACTTTCAAGTTTTTTTGTTTTTGTTTTTGTTTTGTACCGGGGATCAAACACAGGACCTTTCACTTGTGAGGCACACAGTGTGGCACCACTGAGCTAAATCCCTGGCCCACTTACAAGTTTTTTAAAAAATAACTACAGCTACTTCCTAATCACTGTTTTTTAATGTTCTTATTTCTGAGCTGAAAAGAAAAAGATTTCATATAAAAAAGAAATTGCTGCTGGAAATAAATTTTTAAAACACCCGTGTAATTTTAATAAGCCAAGCCTAAGAATCCAAAACATTTATAATCAGTTAATTTTTTACCATGGTGTTCATATAATTCAAAAGAAGAAAAAATGATGTTATGACAACTGGATACATTGAATCACAGATCTAAATGTAAGAACTAAAACTATAAAACCCTCCAAAGAAAAGAGACAAGCAAAATCTTCATGGCCTTGGAGTAGGTAAAGCGTTTCTTGGGGCAGGTAGAGTGGTACATATATATAATCCCAGCATTCGGGAGGCTCAGTCAGCAGGATTGGTGTTAGTTCCACCAGGCCAACCTGAACTACAGTCAGTTCAAGGTCAGCCTGAACTACCCTGTCTCAAAAAGGCAAAAAAAAAAAAGTTTAAGATACAAAATCAAAAGCACTACTGACCAAAAAAGCAAAGAG